TTCTCTTCTTTACACATTATTTATATAAATACCATAAATATTTATTATCTAGAGAAAAGATATCTATACATTTTTAAGTTTTTTTTTTTTGGTTGGCTAGAATTGTGATTCACTAGAGCTAAACTCCTCTCTCCAGCCACCCACAGACGCAGCATTGGTATAATAGAACCTTACATCCCATGATATAAGTCAAATAGTTCTGGTTTTTGACATTCTGTTGTGTCGCCCTTCTTCGAAAGTGTAATAAAAACGGTCGTTGTCTAGTCAGTAGGCCATTCTTTGGTTTCCAAAAAAAAATAACAAAAAATGTTGCAGTCTGTGAAATATTTGTATGCTTTTTTCTCCGGGTATTTTTATTAATTGAACTGGTTTATCATCCATTGCTGGTGCCTTCTATTTCTTCATTTCTTCACCACGTTAACAACCTCAGATGTAAGAATTTCTGCTACTCTTTCAATTACTTGTCAGACTTCTTTATTTTTGTATAATTTCTCAAAATATCCTTTCTAATGTCTTTTTGATGTCTTCTCCTTCCATTAAAGTAGTTCCATCTTTATCTTGAATTACATTTAGTTTCCGTGAAAACTTTTGTCAGATATTTTAGAACTTTAAATAAGTCCGACTTAAGTTATGAATTAAATTAAATCACGTTTTAGTTTACCATCGATGAAGAGATCATGATTTGCCAGCCTAGGTACTATAAATCATTAAATTTAACTTCTTAGATCAATTCCATTGATTATATGGATTTTATGCAGTTCTTTAATAATCTCTTAATGTTGGTTTTATGACAATATATTCGATTTAGGTACTTTCGAAATTCCTATATGTAATACACTGCTCTTCAGTTTTCTACATTCAAATATAGTAAATTTCCTGAGTCCACTGCAAAACATAAGGTTTTTACAGCAAGCTATGATACTTAATAAGCTATAATACTGTTTCAGTTGGTTATAGAAATATTGTTGCAGTTACCTATCAAAGACCCACTAGTGAGTCAGCAGTAAGGTTATAGACTTACAGCGCTAAAATCTGGGGTTCGATTCTCCGCGATTGACAGAGTGCAGATAGCACATTATATGACTTTGTGTTTGTTTGTTTGTTTAAAGTTAAGCACAAAGCTTCACAATGGGCTATCTGTGCTCTATCTACCACGGGTATCGAAACCCGGTTTCTAGCGTTGTAAGTCCGCAGACATACCGCTGTGCCACTGGGGGGGGGGCATGACTTTGTGATGAAACAAACAAGCAATGCAAATTAAATCTTTTGAAACATAAAAATGAAATAAACAAAACTCACATATTTATGATTTGACTGGAATCAATGAATAAAATAAACTTTATTTATTAAAAAAAATAAAGTCGTTAGAAAAATATTAATGATTCCAAAGTTTGGTGATACTGAAGTTTGAAAATTTGAGGATAAGAAACATGATGTATATTGTTTCATAAAATTTTAAATCAAATAGATAAACGAATCCCAATACATCATTGGATATCACTAAGTATATTTTGAAGTTGTTGCATTATATAAATACCATAAATATTTATTATTTAGAGAAAAGATATCTAAAATTCTACACGTTGGATGTTTTTTAAAACAAAAAAAAAAGAAACTAATGTTTAGCTGTACAATGACGTATATTTTACTTTTATAGATTTTTGTTCATGTGTAAATCAAAACTTGATATCACATCGAATAAAAATGTTTACGTTGACGTCAGCGTGGTGCCTTGAGCCAAACTTGTCAATCTTAAAAATTCATGAAATACTAAGCCGTCTATGGATACAGTTGGGTGGAATGGGTGTATCACTTGAAGGATCGTATATCAACGCTTTGTACACTGTAAAATACGTTCATCACGTTATTCTACCGTTTTTATTACTCTGACTGGGTTGATAAATACATAAATAGTGTCTAAACTTTTGTTGCTGGGTCCTTCTACAGCACTTAATTGACTTATAAAATATATATATATATATACCATCCATTACCTAGCTTCGAATTTATTGAACGAAACATTGGTATCGGTTGTGAAACTGTGTTTGTTTGTTTGTAATTAAGCACAAAGCTACACAATGGGCTATCTGTGCTCTGCCCACCACGGGTATCGAAACCCGGATTCTAGAGTTGTAAGTCCGCAGACATACCGCTGTGCCACTGGGGGGGGGGCGTGAAAGTGTGATGAGCATAAGAAAATTATCACTCTGTCATATCGTACAATTTTTCCATCGGTAAACGAAGCTCTGTAGTTTCTTGTGATTTATTGCATTTTTTATTGGAGCCAGAATTTTAGGAAATGCTTAATTCACACTCATGTAGAATTTGCAATAATACTTTAGTTGAAAGGGATCATAAGTTACAGTTTGTTTTTTGTTTCATACATATTTTTCAATATGTATTTATTTTCAGAAAATGTGATAAAGCTTATTAATTGTAACGTTTTTATTTTGAAAAAAGCACGAGAATAGAACGATTCAGTTTTACAGGATAAGACAAATATCCTAAGGAAACCTGGTTTCTAAATTAGTTGTTTCCTCAAAATATGATTTCCCAATTAACTGTTTCCTCCTTCTAAAATTTTGGTACGATGTTCCTAGTTGTCGTTAACAAAATGTCTTCAATATTCAGATGAGCCAGTGAACACGATAAATATAAAACATATACAATGATGCTGTTAGAATTCACTTTACTCCTTGTATTGTACTCATAAATATTTTTTTTCCTTATCCTAAATAGATGGTTACACGACTTCATTTAATTGTCAATTTCATTTGTTCAACAGAAAGAACAAAAAACGTGCAGGGTATGTACAAAACTAAAATTCGAAGCTCATTACGAAGATCAAGTCTACTCTTATCCACTCAGAATATAAAGTTTTGTTATCTAAGCTTTGGCCACACTGAAAAATAGCATGCTATGAATATAGCAATAAAGTTTAACGAGATGCTAGGAATTAAAGTAAGATTTCCCCCGAAATGGTCCAAATTTCTTAATCAAAATTCTTCATAAGCAATATTTTGCATTTTTTTAATATAAATAATTTTATTCTTCTTCATTAACCCAGCATCTCCCGTACTTTGTAAGAGAAAACCTGCTGCAATTGCATTAGCTGGAGTGAAACAGATACGAGGTCCAGAATTTAGACCCGAGATAAGAAAAAAAAATAAAAAAATGTGGGGGGGGGGGAGAAGCTATATAAACTTTTAAAAATGTTGATTTTTGTGTTTCTTCGCGTTTATATTGTTTCTTAAAATTTTATTATTTTTCCAGATATAAAGATATACACACATTCGTATTTGGATATAATAGAAAAGGTTTAGTTTAAGAATAACACTGCGAATATTAGCGAAAACTGAAGAGTAAGAATATATTTTTGGAGGAGTCTGGCCCACCTGGCTCCTCCATTACTAATTGTCATATTTGATGAAATAATTTTAGAAGAGTTTCTGTCAGAGAGACCTTTTTTTTTGTTTTTTTAAAGTAAGTATTATTGACGAATCGACGTAATTATCAACTTCAAAAGAACTGGATTACTGCAATTTTATCCAAGATAACCATTTTTATTAGGACGAAAATGATTGACTTCTGTGTAACCATTTGCTTAGTTTTTAAATAATTTTTGTTTCATTCAATAGCCTGATCGTTCAGTTTCAGAACGGAAAAAGATTTGAATAGCCACCACATAAAGATGAATTTTGAACAAATCTTAAATCGGTTCTGAAAAGAAAGAAAAAAGACTCTGTTTTAATCAGTAATTCGTATCATTGGTACATACAGGTAGAACTCATTGCGGAAAAAGAGAATGATTGTTTTAAAGGCAAAACTAAGAAGAACAATACGTCATTATAACTCAACCAGTCAGAATGGAAATTGGAACTTTACAATTATTTTATCTTTTAAATAGGTGTACGAATATATTTTTAAAAATACTGTCATCTTTGTCGTATTGGTATTTTATTTATTTTTCATTCTGCATCGTGATGTTTATGGAATGTGTCTTTGTATCGTCTTGACGTGTGAATAGGTTGAAGACAGCGCCGAAAGCTAAGAAATAGATTCATTTGTGGAAAAACAAATGTATTCTTACTTGAGCCAAGATACACAATAAGACAAAACTTGACAAAGTTTACACTCGGGGTCACGTAACCATTAACAGTGGTGAAGAGAAGTTTTCAATAAAATCTGAAATATCGTGATTTACTGGAGTTTTAAATAATAAATATTTGAATTAAAGGGATTGAAATATGCGCAAAATGTAATTATATTATCTATATCTATCTATTTATAGATAATTATATATATATATATATATTCGTATATTATAACGACTTAAAGAGTTACGACACAAAAACCATTGTGTAAACAATACCTACATAAACTTTAAGGCAGTTTTCAGCCTTCAATTCATACATTGAATGTTTACAAGTGCAATTTATCATGTGAAAGTGTGAGCACGTATCATGTGCAGACATCAATAATTGTATAGAAAATGTACTTACTTCACTTGAAACTCCAAAATATCAATCTACTTGACAGCTAACCTACTCAATAAATTTCGTCTTTGTTTTCAGAAACGTAAAGTAAAACTAAGAGTAACACGTTTCGAATAGTTGAATTATCTAGAATTATTCCAAGTTCACAGATAATATTTAGATGCGGAAATGACCAGGCCCTTTACATACACAATACAAGGTAATTTGATATTATACTTGCTTTCACTTTTTATCTTATTTTACGAAAAACCTTAAAGCATCAAGCTTTCGAGAATATGGTATTATTAACCTCATGAATCTACCATTTTACGAAATACTAACTAATTTTCGATTGAAGAACTAACTGATGCCTATTTTTCAACAACAACAGAAAAAACAGCCTCAAATCAAATGGAAAAAAAAAACAGAATAAAAGCCATCTAGTGAAAATGACTGTTACTGAAATAATTACATTCTGATTTATAATTTTTACATATGAATAACAAAACACAACGCTGTGTTGAGTTTATCTTAATTCAATCTGGCTTGAAGTACTTCGCCTTTATTCCTTTAAATCTTAACTCAATAATATACACAAACATGGATGTATAGGCAACATCTAAGTATAGAAAAAAATGTGAACTAATTTCATGTTTAAAAGTCAGACAAAAACAATACCGTGTTTAAACAATCATTATTATATTATAAATAGATAAACTTTACTACTTATATATATATATATGTGTGTATATACATATATATATATATTGGGAATAGAATCACAAGTTACTGAGACCAATGAATACAATGAAACCCACAACAACATAAAAAAGTAGGTATTATGTATTAGTAGCACTTTTACCAATGAAAGTAAATCAGAGAAATAAAGTTCTAAAAACAAATTTATTAAACCGTTTTATTTCATTTTATCAACTTCTTTTAGGTGTGATTAGTTAAACAAATTGCTGGAAGTTTCAAAAGAAGCTTTTTAAATATTAAGAGCACGTATCGTTTTGTTAGAAGAGTACGTTTGTAAAAACTACAGTTTTAAATCACATTTTGATTCCTAGGAAGAATTAAGATTAACTAAACATAATTCTTCACCGTTATGCTTTTTCTATTTTCAACTACATAAGCATAACAGATAGTTGTAGCAACCTTGATAGCGAAACAAAGGTAGAAGCAAATGTGAAGACCTCCAAATCCTAACGTTCAAAGATTGCAATAAGCTCTTCCTCAAATAATTAAATCGAGGAAGGTATTACTTGAATCTAGAAGAAAAGGAATTGTAAAGGAAATAACTGGGTTTTCTTGCTTTACTCGGCTCATCTCAAGGACCCACAAATACGTATTCTATTAGGATTCAATCTTCTCATTTCTCAGACATCATGTTGCTAAGTGAATGACTTAGCGAATAGAATGTAACACGTGAAGGAGAAATAGTATTCTTATGTGATGTGCTGACTACAGACTTGACAAAACATATGGCATGGATCACCTATTTCTAACCACTAGATGAAGCTGAACACACTTAAGAAAAATGTCTGAAACAATGGTCAATTTCCTAATTCTATTAGACTTCCAAATTATTCATCAAAACGTCATCATTTAATTACTTAGATAAGGTGGATTTATTAAATTAAAAGTCCAAGCCAATAAATCCAATATGACAATCAGTTTTTACCTCAGAAAATTCACAAATCTGCCAATGCTATATCAAACTGGATGAACATTAAATCCAAAATGTTATCTGGCAAACACAGTTTCCAGGATTTCTCTTCACATATAATGTTAATACACTTTCAGAAAAGTACGTTACATATATGACTATTATATTTTTACTTCCTCTGAAATCAACGAAACGCGAAAGGAATTTGATGGCGTGTGTAATCAACAATCCAAACGGATGATTATGCGGTTAGAAAGCCATGAAAAAAGAATAGTAAAATATATCTTAAAATTTAATTTAAATTTGTGATGAACGTACTCACTTGGTAACTGTAAATTCAAAAAATAGAAAAGTTAACATTCTGTAATTTTTCTGATCTTTTTTTAAACAATGTTACATACAAAAAAGAAGTTACCAAAATCTCGTCAAGTTTCTTCCCAAACATTATCTTATAAGATTTGCTTTGAAAAAATCCGAAATGCGATAAATTACTTGGTTATAATAGTTTTTATCACTAAAATTAACTAAAACACATTTCAAATCTAAGACTATAAAGTCAACTATACATAGTTATAAGTAAGCCTTTTATATATACGTAAGCTTATTTTTCGAATGTGTAGAAGGCCGCAAAAGTGGATACGAACAAGTGGTCCCTCAAGGTGCAAATGAAATTTTTTACCAAACTGCTGCCCTCTAGTGGCGAACTGCTAAGAATTTCCATTGAAAATGGCGTTCCAAGCGTGAAAACACACACAAATATGTATACATTTTAGCTCGGCTTTCATTCCTATTAGCAGGTGGGTGGTTTGTAACAAATTTATACTTTGCTTTCTTTATCCAATTTGAATTTCTTGAAATAATGTTGTTTTCAAACAACTTGCTAATTTTTAAGCAGTCTATCAGCTCATTTTTTTAAAGCTCTTTCATCTTCTATTACTGGATGTTATCTAATGTAATTTCTATACACACACATACATATATATATATATATATATTACATGAATTGTTAAAATACGGAAAGGAATGGTTTTAGAATTTTTGTTTACATGTACATGATCCTATTTTGACGTCATATATTCATCATTTAAACAAATAACTAGTGAAATTAATGTCATTTGAGATCATCAAGAACCATTAACTGAAATCATCAAAGAAGGATACAACGATAGCGCCCCTTTAAGCTCTTCCACGAACTGAAAGCCTCCTCGTAACTTGCAAGTAATATAGATACACATCTCGGTCTGGAGTTATAAGATGTTAGTAGGAAGCTCAGTAAGCATTTATTTTATTTTTAATGGAAGCCTTAAGTTTATCTTTCGCACGTACAGGTAACAAACAAATCATTAGACAGATCTTGAGGCACTCTCTGGAATCTTCTGAAAACAATAATCACTCTCGTTACGCAGTCACTATTACTAAGAAAATCAATGAGTTAAAGTTAGTAGCCAAAGCTTCAAGAGAGGGGCTTGTCGATGGGGATCAATCCCCCCCCCATAGTATCGTTAAGTCAAGCTTTTGCTATCAGAGGATTGCGTGTATCCCTCTGTAGCTCTTATGTTCGCATAATGAATATCATGGGCAATTTTAAAACTGATATTCAGAGATTTAGCAGCAGGCTAGCCCTGTTAATAAAACAAGCAAGTGAGAAAAGGTTGGTCCAGTCCATGATTTTGTGATATACAGGGGTTAAGAGAAGGAAAAATTAGACCAACAAGTGCCCACAATTATATAGGGTTAAAAAAATTGATACAGTCCATGATAGAAGGAGAAATAAGATAATGTGGTAAGGGAAGGTCAGTTCCAGCTTGTAAAAGGAAGACCGTTTAGGTTCAGGGGTCACTTACACATGATGGGGTTTCGAGAGCGAAAGTTTGTTCAGCTAAATATGACTGCATGGTAGAAAGGTGCAGTGCAAGAAAAGCTAGTATAATAAATGAACGCCTTTTCTGTAAACACTGAGCTAAAGTTTGTCGGCAGGAAATTTATCGTTGCGAACCGAGCTCAAATTTAAGTCTGAAAATTATTTCACGTTTAACAGCATCATTATGCATGTGGACCGTGACTTTAGGTCAGTAAATTATGTAAAATGTGTCTCCTTTGTCAAAGATATAGTATGTCCAGTACAGAAATGTGCAACTCACTGACTAGAAACTGAGGAACGATCCAACATCCAGGAGTGCCGTCCAACTTACGTGAGCGAATTGACAGACACGATGAAACAGGATAGAAGAATCACTAACAAAAAGAATGAGATTATACCAAGATACAATTGATTCGACTTATTTCACGTGTGACTAGGTTTCACAGCTAGAGAAATCTGGAATGTTCATTACGCATGGTTTGAAACGAACCATGCCCAAAACATTTAAACATTTTACCTGTTCGTATCACTATTACTTATAATTATCTTAATTAATATTAGAGCTAAAAACATTTATATATGTACACATGACTAAGTAAATAGAACTAACTTGATCAAAATGTATTGTTGAAGGCAAGCATTGAGAATCACTGGGAACTGTTTTAAGAAAATAAATTTCCAGAACGAATGATGCATAGTACAAGCAATATACTTTAGTGCTTAACGTTCCAACACAGGCTACCTACTTACAGCTAAGAAACTAAGTGCTTTGCACCATGGTCTAAACACCTTTCAATAAATAGACATAACATACAAAGCTTTGAAAACGAACACTTAAAAAATGGGCAAGAGTAACCCTCTAACAGATGACGCAATATGCTTAGAAAAGCTTAGAGATACTTCATAAACATTTTATTTGTATCTCTATGTAGAAAAGCAAATCGTTTAGTTCCTGCGCATCATATGACTAGGGCACTCATCATGACCTCTAGTGGGTACTTCATTTACGCATACACAAAATAATTGTTAAATTATTATTATAAAAGAAAAATCTCTTTGAATAAAGTACTACCATAGTAGTTTTATAGAATAGAAATGGAATGTGGGAGGAATGATATGTCCATTAAATATCTTATAAGCCGATCCAATGGATTATAACTATGAAAACTATACGACGCTCTTTTCCGGCATATTATTCCCAAGTTTCAAATTCCGTATTCCTAAAACAGATCTGAACATTCCAAGGCAAGACTTGTATCTCAGGTTCCAGACGTTTTATGGAGATATCACGTTCTTGAGGTGATAAAATCAAGTCACAGTAAAAATTACTTTTCGCAGAAAAGATTGCTAAAGTCCAAGGCACAAATCCGCAAGACACAAAGATCTATTTACTTATATGATATGTAAATTGTTTTGTATATCACTTTCAAAACCAAAGTAACACAGTTCATTGTTTAGACGTTGATTTAGTAGCGCAAATTCCAGCAGGGAGTGAGTTCCATCAGATCAGTCACATCAAATCAGATCATTGATGTCTTTGGTAAAAATAATATTTTGTCATACGAACACAGAACTTATAACGTTCCGACAAAATTAGTTCTTATAATCATTCTAGTTGCTCCAAGAAATTTGGTGTTTTGAAGTATTCCGGAACGTTGTCGTCGAGACGAGCTATGATCTTGTAGATTGCCTTCTTCCAGGATTGTTCCTGATCTTTCCCCGCAACAATAACTTTAAAGAATTCTCTTAATGTCTGCTCAACAACAAATCGAAAATGCTCTGGGACCTGCAAACCCATAAATAACAAATATACATTAAATGATACAAAATATTTTCCATAAATTTGACTGACAAAAAACGATCGTATCATGATTAAAGTACTTCTTAGCTACTGTGCGAGAAAATTTTAATTTTTAATTATCTTATTTCTTACTATAGCAAGATATGTTTTCGACTGAAGAGTAAATACTTCCGAAGTTAGATAACATAATAAGCTTTGGTTAAACGTTTCACTTAACCTACCTCGATGTGGTTATTTCGATTGTAGTGGAGGTTAAGGGTCCTGATCAGCTCTGAGTCAAGGGTGACTTTTAGATCTTCCGAACTTTTCACGCCTTCGCTAATGGCTTGTCGAGAATACTTCTCCATTTGGATATAATAAAACTCTCTGTCGGAATAAAACAGAAAATATTTTACTTAATTAAAAAGGTATGGTAACAGCATTTGTGAAAATAGTGGTTTTATTTTTGAAAGGGTTTGTTTGTTTTTGAATTTCGCCTAGAAGGAAAGCAGCTAGTCATCACCGCCAACTCTTAGGCTACTCTTTTTACCAACGAATAGTAGGATTGACCGTCACATTATAACGCCCCCATGACTGAAAGGGCGAGCATATTTGGTGAATAGAGCGCCCTAATAACCTGGCCATGCCGGGCCTATTGAAAGGGATCACTTAATTCAAGACAATGCATTCGTCACCCCCCAGTGGCACAGCGGTATGTCTGCGGACTTACAACGCTAGAATCCGGGTTTCGATACCCGTGGTG